TTATAAGATATTATAAATATAAAAATCTATAAATAAAATTAATTAAATTTTCTATTGGTTTCAGGTGGTGTTGTTCTTAAATGCCCCAATTTTGAATGCAAAGCTGTCTCAAAGTTTCCAACACAAGGTATCTTCATATTTCTTTATTACTTCAAACTCTATATATTCCTTTAAATAGAAAAAAATGGGATTTTTGGTTGCTTTTTCTTACCTTAAGGTATGTTGATATTTGTTTATTAGAACCATATTCATACAAATATATTAAGATAATATTTCGTTTTATTTATTGTTTCTGTTGATATAATACGGTTTTATGTGATTAACTGTTAATGGTTATGAGGTGGTGTAGAGCACCTTGATGTACGTCAACAAAATGGTTTGCTATCTATCAACTCGCAGAATCACATCATGGAGGATGAACTCGACACAAATGAGGTGTTACTTTTGTACTTCAATTTTTTTTTTATAGAGAAAACCATTAAAACCAAAAAACATCTTAATTACCGTTCATCTAGACGATATAGATATATGCACATACAAGTAATTTGTAAGCAATTTGTCCGATATGCACATCTGCATAACATGCACACGTGCATAAAAACCAAGAAACAACTTCAATTACTTATATGCACATATACATACCGTCCTGATGAATGGTTATCAGAAAGTTTTTGGGTTTTCATATATGTATATATATGGGCCTAATCAAATCAGAACTGTTTTGTTTGTGATAATCGTGAGAACCAATCTCAACCATAAATTAAAGGTTAAATTAGGAAATTAATAATTTTGTTAATTTTAACTTAAAATATTAATTATGAGCATATTAGGGATTTCTTAAATATCCTCTCTCTTCTTTACTTTCTCCGATAAACTTTATTCCGATGAACTTTAACATAAAATACCACTACCAAACAGGCCCTTCTTTTCTGGCGGATTTATTTTTTAAAAAGATTTATTATTTTTCCGCCGGAAAATGTTAAAACCGGTTTTTAATTTCAAACAAATTTCCGGCGGATAGTAATTTTAAAAGATTAATTAATTTTCCGCCGGTAAATTATTTTGATTAAATTAAAATGCAAGTCTAATATGATTAATTAATAACTCCGCCGGAAATACAATCAGTCTAATATTTCCGGCGGATTTCTGACGGAAGTCAATAAAAGTTGACTTTTTTGAAGTGCCACAGAAATCCGCCGGAATATTACTGGCGGAAACCGTCCGCGGGAAATGGCCAGTTTTCTAGTAGTGTACATACTGTGATACCTAGATATACATACAAGATGCACAATATGATACTCTTTGTAAAGCAATGAAAACAACGAAAATGTACACTATGAAACATTTCATAAAACAAAGAAAATACAATGTGATGCACGTGAAACATTGTAAACGTTATCACTATGATACACTTTAATTCACAAACGTCTTTAAAATACGATGTATATTAGGTAAATGATATACAAGGTAACTAATTTTAATTAAATATTTAATTACTTCTAAAAGATTTAATTAAATATTTAATTACTTCTAAAAGATTTAATTAAATATTTTGATTAGTTATCAAAAATAGAATATCTATATATATTTACCCTTTTAGCTTATCTAAGAAATATCATTAAATATCTCAAACGAGTTGTTCACATTGGATGTCATAGTTACCACAAACTAATCAGTTCTCTTTTGAGTGGACCTATATGACCTATATATATATATATATATATTGTTTTCGTGAGACCCGTGAGACCATATTTTTACACGTAAACTTCACAGCAAAAACACCGTGAAGGTTTAAAAAAAGTCGAACCTTCACAACAAAAACACTGTGAAGGTTTTAAAAAGTCACCTTCACAGCATTTTGCTGTGAAGTTTCAAGTGTAAAATGCTGGTCTTACGGGTCTCACGAAAATAGGCAGGTCTCATATGATCCCAAGTCTTATATATATATATATATATATATATATATATATATATATATATATATATGTCATCTTTATCAAAAAGATTTTGTACTAACATTGATCATTCTCGTGGTTGTCTATACGATTAATCGGACATCTGAAGATTTTGTATTTGAGCGAGGAGATCAAGGGGTTTGCTGAGAGAATCAAAGGGATATTGAATGCAATTGATGATGGAGAGATAAATGCGGTGGCTTACGATACAGCTTGGGTTGCACTCGTSCAAGATGTTAATGGAAGTGGTCGCCCTCAGTTCCCGTCAAGTTTGGAGTGGATTGTAAACAATCAACTCCCTGACGGATCCTGGGGCGACTGTGTGACCTTTTTGGCTCATGATCGGATCATTAGTACATTAGCATGTGTGATCGCGCTAACTTTTTGGAACTTTCATCCCGSAAAATGCCAAAAAGGTAATCAGTTCTTTATCGTTAACACTAGTCTAATCATCAAGTTTATGGCTTGGTGCCATAAGTCGTAACACTGAAATAAGACTCGAAAACATATATAATACCATCGCTTGCCGCTGTCTGTTGCTAAAGTGATTTGTGACGGAACTAATATCGGTCTTGATTTATACAGGAGTGGAATTTCTGAAAGAGAACATAAGCAAACTTGACACCGAGAACGAAGAACATATGACGTGCGGTTTTGAAGTTGTGTTTCCTTCACTTATCGACATTGCAAAGAAGCTCAACATCGAAGTCTCAGAAGATTCTCAGGTCTTGAAAGAAATCTACGCAAGACGGAACCTGAAGCTCGCAAAGTCAGTACTTGATTTATAGTTTACATGTACACCATTGTTTTTTTCTGTAACTAACACTGAAAACGATCGTAATGGATGTGTTTTTGTGACGAAAAGGATACCGAAGAACATAATGCACAAAGTTCCGACATCTTTACTTCTTAGCTTGGAAGGAATACCTGATTTGGAGTGGGAAAAACTTGTAAAACTTCAGTGCAAAGATGGGTCATTCCTCTTATCGCCATCATCCACTGCTTTTGCATTCATGCAAACTAATGATGAGAATTGTCTTCAATATCTCACAAATGTTGTTACCAAATTCAATGGTGGAGGTGTGTTTTCATGTTGGTTTTTTGGGRCATTTTTGTTGTTCWATTATARATGTTATCTTATCTTCTTCWTGTTCATGATCATGATGTAGTTCCGRATTTCTACCCGSTGGATCTTTWTGAACGTATTTGGGTCGTTGATCGCCTCCAACGTCTTGGGATTTCTCGYTATTTCAAGTCAGAGATCGAGGGTTGTGTTGAATACGTCTACAAGTATGCAAATCTATTAAAAAACCATCCRTTTGTCTACAAAATCTRTTGTTTTTACGTCTCAAGAAAGCCTAGAAATTGAAATGATTGAACGAAAWTTCAGGTRTTGGACTAAGGATGGGATCAGTTGGTCGAARAACTCGAATGTACAAGATATTGATGACACTTCGATGGGATTTAGGATTTTGCGAATGCATGGTTACGATATTTCTGCAGGTTACTTCAATTCTTATACATGAACATATGCTCGAAAATTCAATAGGTTTTGACGATGTTTTTAGTGACAAATTCAAGATTAATGAGGTTTTTGTGACAGATGTGTTTCGACAATTTGAAAAAGATGGCAAATTTGTGTGTTTTGTCGGGGAAACAACAGACTCCGTCACCGTAACGTTCAATTTATTACGCGCGTCGCAAGTGCTCTTTCCCGGAGAGAAAATCCTTGACGAAGCCATGAAGTTTTCTTATAAATATTTGAAGGAGAAACAATCATCGAACGAGCTCCTTGATAAATGGATCGTCGCCAAGGACTTGCCTGGTGAGGTACATACGCAAATTAAAAAAAATTCGCGGCCATAACTGTTGCAATAACTATTTTGCGACACATAAAACTTATGATGACGACATATTTGAACCCAAAATCAACAGGTGGGATACGCGCTAGACATACCATGGTATGTGAGTTTGCCTCGACTCGAGACAAGATGCTACTTGGAGCAATACGGAGGCGAAGACGAAGCGTGGATCTCAAAAGCCGTATACCGGTACTACTACATGAACATAACATATATAAAAATTTAGAGAAACTGAAACGTTACCAACACCTTTTGATTTAGACGATGGCCGCCTACCATCGCGAGACTAACTTCTACGATGACAATGATTGAAAAACGAAGCGGGAAACTCTCAAATGTTAGTCGACGATACAGTAACTGTCTTTATAGAACATGAATTTAAACAGAAATAGTAAAACATATTAATAACTCAGAGTCAAGACCATATAATAGATTGTAATGCATCTGTGTACACATATACATATATGATCATATTCAACCTGCAGGCTGGGAAATATTAGCAATAACACATACCTCGAAATGGCTAAATTGGATTACAACCACTGTATGGTCAGGCATCAGCTCGAGTGGAACAGTATGCAGCAGTAAGTTCGCAATTTTCTTTAAATAATTCCAAACATTTATGTGATTTAAATGAATAAAATCTGATAAAAACAGATGGTATGTGGATTTCAATATCGAACGGTTTGGGATGAGCAATATCACAAGTCTTTTGGTCGCATACTACCTGGCTGCAGCCAGCGTATTCGAGCCAGAAAGGTCCAACGAGCGAATCGCRTGGGCTAAAACGACAGCCTTAGTCGACGCCATCACCTCCTTCTTTGATTCACGACAGCTCTCGAAAGAGCATAGAAGAGATTTTGTCGACAAGTTCAGAAACACACCGTCATCCGTTCGTCCTGCCAAGTGTGTTTTTTGATCTTCTCTATATTTTAKGGTTCAAAAGCATTAGTGACAGACTGTTTCGGGTGTCACTTAGGTTTTCTAGATTGCTAATTTTCTATCTTGAACCCAGATATGGAAACCCATGGCATGGGTTGATGGTTGCACTGCAGCGAACCCTACACGAGCTCGCATTGGACGCACWCATGGCTCATAGCATAGACATTCATCCACAACTTTACCATGCCGTAAGCTTGATACATATCCGTCGATTAATTCTCTTTGTGACAACCAATTCGCTGTCGCTAAAATCATTAATGATCGTTTCTGAATTAGTGGGAGATGTGGCTGACAAGGTGGCTAGAAGAAGCGGATGCCATAGAAGGACAAGCGGAACTGATGGTGCAAACAATGAACATGATCGCTGGTCGATGGACATCGATGGAACTCTTCGCTCATCCTCAATATCGACAGCTTTCAACCGTCACTAATAACCTCTGTCTCGAAATATCCGGTTCCAATCAATCCAAGGTACACACCAATTAATACGCACATATTACTCCAATTTTAAGTTGAATCAATATTCTTTCGTTACTTATTGAATTCACATGACACATATTTCTACATTTTATAGGAGAATCGTACCATATGTTTCAAGAGTGAAACCATGAAGGCGAAAAGAGAGCACATAATGCAAGAACTAGTGCAACTCGTATTCAGCAACTCACCTGATGATCTTGATCAAGATTTGAAGCAGACATTCCTAACTGTGGCGAAAACTTTCTACTACAGGACCTATTTCGATCCCGAGACCATAAACGTTCATATCTCCAAAGTACTGTTTGAGCATGTAATCTAAAGTTATCGGAGCATCTCCAATGACTATGATATAACTGTTCTAAAATAGAGTATCCAAAATCAAAATCTCCATAAAATATTACATCGATCCAACTCCGATAGCTACTTTCTTTTGGTTTTTTTGGATAGCAAGAGGAATGAATATATTGCAAACAAGAACTAGCGAGGTGCTAGAAGGTATAGGTTATGACCAAAGTTACAGGGGAATTCAATCAAACTTTCCAACTGAAAACACTCCCAATTTTAGATCTACACCCGATCCAGTAGAAGGGAGAAGGCAAAGTACTGGATAAGATTTGCAATCTTCTTGCTATTCTTCATCTTCCCCTTTATGGAGTATCTCGTTCCATTTGTTCCAAAGATACGCCATTAGGATTATCTCGGTCACCTTTTTTTCATATCTCCGATCGCCTACTTGCTGCACCGCTCCCCACACGTCTTGAACTGAGTTCGGGGCCGTTGGCCAGAAATTCCACCATTGATTTAAGTACGCCCTCACGTCTCTAGCTGAGGAACATTGTGCCAAGAGATGATCCGAACTCTCGGGATGTGAAACGCAACACAGACACTCCTTTGCCTCAATGTTAATGTCCCTTTTAAGCAAGTTATCTTTAGTCGCCAATCAGTCATACCTCACCCTCCAAACGTGAACATTCACCATTGATATCCGGTTAATGCTTCAACAAATAATACTGAGTTGGATACCACATCAGCATGGTAACCGGTTAATGTTTCAACCAATTACTTTGGTACTTAAATGATTAAAATTTTACATCTTAGGTACCAAAATAGAAGTTTTAAAAATACATTATCCAAAATAGGAAATCAAGTTAAAATACGTTACTTTTTTAAAATTGAAATCATACCCGTAGAATGTGATTATATTATTCAAGATATCACATCCAACTTATTAAAATTAAAATTTTCGATGATAAGTTATTTAAAATAAAAATCAAAACAAAAGAAAGCTATATTTCTGTCACTTATTTTTTCTAATTTATACAACTGTATTAAAATTATAATTAATTAATGTTTAATATGTTTTTCTATTTTTAGAAGGATTTTTGGCCTAGCGGCATGTGAGTTGTTAATCTCTTAGGAGGTCAAAGGTTCAAACTTCACAAAAGTAAAGAAGACGTGTGAGTTTATTTGTTCTATTTACCGTATATAAATATTATATACCTAAAAAACAATTTCCAATGCAAAGTCGAATTAAAAGTCTCCTAAAGAAGGTATTTTTAATATTTATTTAGAAAAATTTACTCAAATGACCATTTGTGCCATCCAAATTGGTTTTCTAACCATTATTTTATCGGATTAATTCAAATGTCCTATTTTTACAATATTCAGATAATTGAAAACCAGAGTTTGATCATATACAGAATGCATTATATTTTTAAAACTTCAATTAAAATGATATATCCGGTTGCACTTTCAGGCGGATTATGGGATAGGATATGTTATATGTTTTAAAAAATTAATTTTTTGATTAATCCTAAAAATCCATCGGAAATTTTTAATTCTCGTTTGGTTTGTAGGATTTGATTGAATTTGGAACACCTGGAAAGAGATGAGGCTAAATCCCATACAGAATCTAAGACTAAAATCTTAGTTTTTAGATGAGTTTTTTTATTATTATTATATCTCGGCAAACCTTCACTTTGGAAAAAAACCTAGCTTTCTAATTTATATATATATATATATATATATATATATATATTCAACCTATTTGGATCTTGCAGGATGGGGAATGTTAGCAATTACACGTATCTTGAAATGGGTAAGTTGGATTACAACAACTGTGTGGCCATCCACCAGCTCGAATGGAACACTATGCAGCAGTAAGTTTCCAACTTTCTTTCAATAATTCCAMTGATTTATAAGCGTTTASGTGATTAAAAATGATAACATAAACAGATGGTATGTCGATTTCGATATGGGACGGTTTGGGATGAGCAATACCACAAGTCTTTTGGTCTCATACTACTTGGCTGCAGCCAGCGTCTTCGAGCCAGAAAGGTCCATCGACCGAATCGCGTGGGCCAAAACAACCACATTACTCAACGCCATCTCATCATTCTTCGATTCACTGCAGCTATCGATAGAGCATAGGAAAGATTTCGTGGACAAGTTCAGAAACAAACCGTCATCCCTTAGTCCTGCCATGTGTGTTTTCATCTTGTTATTTTATGGTTCCAAAGCCACTACAACAAAATTGGCTTTATAGAATTTAGGTCTATAATAGGATGAAACTATAAAGCATCATATCTAAAAGTGTTACAATAAATTAATAAGACGTTTTAGGTGTTTTAACAAATTTATTTGGACGTTTTTAAAATAAGTGTCATATTAGCTATTTTATAACCCATCTTTTTATAAGACATTTGTGTTTATTGAACACTTTTTTAGATAATGTCATAGTACAATTAGTTAATACGATACTTTATATTAAGAAGTGTTCCAAAAAACTTGTTAAAACGCCTTAAAGCGTCCTATAAACCTATTGTAACATTTTTAGATATGACATTTTTTTGGATATGACGCCTTTTAGGACGCTTCTACATTTTGGACGTTCTATAAATTTTGTTTTGTTGTAGTGACCATCAGTGAGTGACAGGTGGTTGGGGTTCGTAATAGTTTTTTCGAGTGCTAATTTTCTGCGTATTTGATAACACAGATATGGAAAACCATGGCATGGGTTGATGGCTGCACTTCAAGGAACCCTACATGAGCTTGCGTTGGACACACTCATGGCTTGTGGTCGAGACATCCATCCACAAATTCCCCATGCATGCCGTAAGCTCGTTATATCTTTGCCGATTACCTTTTGTGACGGGATTTAGTTGTCGAAATGATCATGTTTTTCTTTTCATTTTTTCAAATTAGTGGGAGAGGTGGTTGACGAGGTGGCAAGGAGGAGGAGATGCAACGGAAGAACAAGCAGAGCTGATGGTACAAACAATAAGCATGATCGATGGCCGATGGACATCGAAGGAACTCTTGGCCCATCCTCAATACCAACGGATTTCAACCGTCACTAATAACCTCTGTCACGAAATATCCCAGTCCCATAAGTCCAAGGTATAAACGAATTCAGACATTCGTTTTGAATTCAGTCAAGATTCTTTCGTTGTTTATTCAATTGAGATAATAAATCTTTCAATATATTGTTAATTAGGAGAACCGTATCACATGCTTCGACAGTGAAACCGCAAATGCAACGATAGAGTGCAGAATGCAAGAATTAGTGCAACACGTCCTCAGCCGCTCGCCCGATGATCTTGATCGGGATTTGAGGCAGACGTTCCTTGCCGTCGCGAAAACTTTCTTCTACAAGGCCTACTATGATACAGACACAATAAATGTTCATATCACCAAAGTATTGTTCGAAACTGTACTTTAAAAACACTAATAAATCCCTTAATTCTTGCATAACATATTCCAAGGTGAAATCATATATAGAGAGAGAGAGTGTGTGTTTGTTTCAAATGCAACTTATTACATTTGTATAACCAATGTAACCAAAAAAAATTGAAATATTTATGAAAATGATGAGAATTCATTTATTATGATTTAAATATTTATGAAAGATGGATAAAGTTTATTAATTATGATCAATATATATAGGCTTGGTGGATTTACACCCCACCTATTTAGGATTTACACCACATCATAATACCCATATCTATTAATAATAATTACTTAATTATTATTAATTGTTTTTTATTTTATTTATTTGTAATCATTGTTCAATAATACCATTTATTTATTTCAACTTTTTAAATTGTTGTTTAGTTTATAAACGGTTTAGTTTATAAATTGATTTTTTAAATTATAAAACCATTAATTTTTTTATTTTAAAGGATTAAGTTATTAAAATATTTTTTAAATTAAAAAAACCATATAAATTTCTAATTTTGATTAAKGGTAAAAATTGAATGAAAAAGTAACATAGTTTAACTTGATTCATATTTTGGGTAATGAACTTTCAAAACTTTCATTTTGATAACTGAGATGTAAAGTTTGAAACATTTAAGTACTTAGGTAACCAAATGAAGTATTAACCGGTTAACATTGTGATATGGTATCTAACTCGATATTATTTGTCGATATGAATAAGCTAATCAAAAATTAGTTTTTATGTATTGTGGTTTATTAGAAAAAAGAGTTAATGCTTCAACCGATTATCTGAATACTTAAATGTTTAAAACTTTACATATTATGTAGCAAAATTGAAGTTTTGAAAGTATTTTATCCAAAATAAAAATCAAACTAAAGTACGTTATTTTTTCATGCAATTTGTCATTTGATTAATTAAGTATGTGAACATACTTTTAATAAATAAATCTTTAAAAATTGGTTATTTACATCGTTTTAACCCAGAGAAGCTTAGATTAACCGATTAGTAAAAGTTCAATGGTTTATTTATTTATTTTAAAAAAATCAGGGTCTTTATCATTCAAAATGCAAAAGTTTAATTTTTTTTATTTAAAAAAATAGTTTAAAAACTTAATTATTTAAAATAAAAAAATTAATGGTTTTATAATTTAAAAAATCAATTTATAAATTTTATAGAAATATAAAAAGGGTTGTTACAATCACGAGACAACTTTATAAGAAAATTAAAAAAAAATGATGGGATAGATGGGGTTCAAAATCAAAGCCATGGGAAATATAAAAAAGTTATTATAATCATGAGACAACTTTATAAGAAAATTAAAAAATAAATAAATGATAGGATAGATGGGGTATAAACCATAGAACCCTATATATATTGTCGCTTATAAAGAAAGTAGAATAAGAACTAACCACCTCTATAACACTACTAGAAATCGGACTTTCACCGGCGGAAATATCCAAATGGAAATTTCTGCGGAAAAATCAGAGATGGATTTCTGACGTAATGCATTAAAGATAATTTTTTATTTAATTTCAGAAATGCCTCAGATATCCGTGGAAATTTTCTAAGAACTTCCGACTGAATGCATTAAATGATTTCAAAAAAAAAATTTAATTAATTTTAGAAATCTGTCGAAAAATGTCGTCGGAAATATTTTGAATTCCGTCAAAGAAAGTTTGTCGGAAATAAATTCCATCCAGAAATTTTACGACGGACATATTCCATTGAAATGGCTTTTCAGACGGATTCTGGACGTAAATGGCCTCGTTGAAAAATCCCGTTTTTAGTAATGCCTCTTTTCTAGAGGATATTGTCAAAATTGGAGCAAGAAACCATGGACGTAACCCTTTTACCATAGTGGTTGTATGCATGGGTAACGCATAAATTAGGGGCGTTCGAAAATAAAATTCAGATCATAAAACCAATACTAAATCGGATCGTTTTTTACAGTTTAAATGGTTTGACGGTATAATTTCAGTTGAAATATAACGATCTCGTTTGAAAATATATTTAATTTAACCATAGGGGTGGTGTGCGATTGGTTTGAGCTTGGGCTCTAAAGGTCAAAAGTATTTTCAAGCTCCAGGTTCGAATCCAAGGAGAAATAAAAATTCTCTTGTGGCTACGGAGGTTCAAATGCAGTAAGTCCAACGGATGATTGTCCTGGGATTAATCGGCTTGCATAGCAGGTTCAATATTCAAGTTAATAGAAAAAATCAAATGAAGATCTTTCAAAAATAGGCCCAAAATTAAATTAACATGCATATTTGGGCCCAAGGCCCATAATATCATTAGGTCTACAATCATACCAGTGGTCCACATTAGATGTCCAAAAATTAGTTCTAGGTTGTGTGACTCCAAATTGGTCCTTGTCTTAAATCGGTCCTTTTAAAATCGGATAACTTAATCCAAGTCTTGTTTCCGATCAACAATTTTAGGACTGTTCTTAGACCCAGCAACTGGTCCCAATCCCGGTTCCATCAGACAGTCCCAAATTTTGTCTCGGGCCCGTCTCGATATCTAAATATATGTATTTTTAATACTTTTACACAAAAATATTATTAATAGTTTAACTATGATTATTTGTAATATTTTGCATTGAAATATACTTTAAATAATGTAGTACTAGAAAAAAAATCTTCAAAGATTTGAAAGAAAACTTTAAAATCCTATAGAAAACATAAAAATCTTGTAAAAGATCTTGAAAATTTTATATTACAGTTAGTAAAAACTCATAAAAATAAGAAAAATCAGGGCGATACATAACCGGTTTGAGGTCGTGTCATGAATTTCCGTAAAATTTGTATTGGACCCAATTGCAGGGACGGATCTGGTATGGAGCATACGGTGGCACGTGCCACTGTATTCTTCCTCCATCGAAGGGTAAAAAAATCAAGGTTTGTGAAAGGTGCAACTGTATTGATTTGTTGTGTGCCACCGTATGTATTTTGAAAGTACAATGAGAAAAAGTTTTATTTGGTAGAATTGGTTTGCAAAGCTTTTATTCCACCTCAGACCCAAGTTCAAATCATGTTACTGTCATTTTCTTAGTCAAATGGTGCAACCATTTGAAAAAAGTTCTGTATATTTGTTACTTATAGTCAAACGCTGTCAACGTTCGAAATTTTCTCTAGATATTTTTTTTCTTATAGTCAAATAGTGCCTACGTTTGAAAAAAAATTATGGGTTCGTTCCTACCCAATTGGTCCCGAGTTGAGCTATACCCGATTCGGCCATTGTGGGCCTAACATTAAGCTTCAGTTCTTTGGGCCGAACTCCTAAATAATACTTGATGTTGGGCTAGATTTATAAGCCCGCCATTTTGAAAACTATGAGCCTTTTATCAGCAACGGTGTTCATCCGTTCACAGTTCACACATACAATAATTTTTGGTGGAATTGATTTAATTAATCATTCGTTACATCTTGGATTTTGATAGTAAGTAACCGATTGAATACAATTCAATGGACGATTAGATTCGATCGATTATTTCAATTGGATATTACTGTTAGTTTATTTATTTAATCGAATTTGATTAATCCAACATGTTGAACCAATCATCAATACGTTTTATTTAAAACACTTATCAGAGTTTAGTCGGTCAGTTCTAATTGGATCCAATGACGTTCTGCATACTGGTTACTTTTCTATCCTCTCGTTTTGGTTGATGTAATACTACACGATTGCATCGTAACCAAACCAGCATCCCCTGATGTCTGTGGGCAATAGTAATCACTAGGACTTCATCGACCATCTTCATCACACACTTCTCGTGGATGCTAAAAGGCCTAATCTCGGTCCTTGCATCACTATGAAGTCCCGTCTTAACAAGAGTTGTCTCTAACGTGAAAGTTGGTGAGTTGATTTAGGTACAACTATATTTATTTTATTGGTACCATAATTATTATTAAATTTATTATTACAAATGTATTTTCTATTAAAACAATAAAAATGCAATATAAAAAAACATCTTCTAATAATCAACAATAAGGCCCTGTTTGTTTTTTTCAAAATTACTTCTTAATACCTCTGAGATCTGACTCGTTCAGACGTTTGGGTGTTAAGAGCGTTTGTTTTATTTCTAAAATAAGAGCTTAAAAGCTCTAAATGTCCTATGAAATTTCAAGTGGTAAACGTATCCCTTAATACTAATCCTAATTCGTCATCTATCAAATGGTTCATATTTTGGGGACGAAAGAGATTTGTTAGCAAAACTATTTATCTTTTATACTTTTGCAAAAAAAAACTACTTATCTTTTATACTTTTGCACTAGTTTGACCGATTCAGATTTCAGACTTCAGATGTAAAAACAAACAATCTTACTAATCCAGATTTTAGACTTCAGGACCACCTCTTATAAATCAGGACCGAAATCAGACTTCAACACCTCTTAAAAAACAAACGCCACCTAATACTAAATTTTTTAAAAATACTAAATAAATTTTACAAAAATAAAAATATAGAAAATTCATATTACATAGAATAAACAAGCCAACTAATAAAAAAAACATTAAACAACATAAACATTTTAATAAGACAGAAACATTACTCGAATTGGATTTGAAACTTAAGAATTAACGATCATGCTTCACAGGGCCTAGAACAGGTCTCGACCAACGATAGATTATGTACTTAATAGGCGAATATAACGCCTTAATCCGTTAGCAAATATTTCCGTCATGATTCGAATGGATTTTTTTTATCTCCATCTTCAGTTTTTCCGTTGGTTATACCACGTTTTTGACTTCCACTAATCATAGGAATAAACGCTAGTATCAATTTTGCAAGAACAAGAACGTATTTTATTAAAACTAATAAAGAGAACCAAAATACAAAACCATTTTGCTTTTTAGAAACAATCGTCTCTCGTTACAAATACTTAATTAAAACCAAGCACGGAACAGAGATTATTAAGTATGAAAATATTAAAATTACTTTAGCTTTTAAATTAAGACGATGCCGACAACCCTTTAACATAAAATATGTGATAGAGATAGAGATA